AAACTCTTCATATGCAAATACTAATTTCAAAGCCAGTTGAATTGCCAGCACAATTTGTCTCACAAATGTGAGGCTATACTTCCAATGAACACAACAAAGTGCTGAAATCCATTAGAAAGTACTTGTGAAATAGTCATGTTTTGAGGACTTGGTTTTGATGATTTGAAAGACAGCAGAAGAGCACAGAACTAATTTCCACCTGGACAGGGGTTTGTTTTCCCTGCTTATTTGAAATTAGAGCCAACAGTAATAAATGGTTTAGTATAACTAAAGTTCTCTCTTCATTTAGACCAAACAGACTGGCAAGTCTATGAACAAACAGGTCATTTTCTATAGAATGGCTATAATATATGCGCTTTCTATTGCCATATTTGAAACCCCTTCATAGTTTATGTAAGCTACAATCTTTTGCACACTGATTATACAAGTATATCCTATGACCATGGGCTAGTGCTAGTGGTTAGTGAAAATAATTATAATTAATAACAACATGGCAAAAGCCTTCAGCCTGCTTTGTTTGGCATATATTGCAAAGTTTCTTTTTCTCAGCCCTTCACATCAGAAGGAACTATTTGCTCCCCTTGTTTTTCAGCACTGGATATGAGGCAGAAGGACAAAAGCAATTTGCCAATGGTCAAACAGAATATCAGGAAAAGTACTGGGAATAAAACCTGAGGCTTACTAATAATGAGGCACCTGGTTTCATTGCCCGACATTCTCAAGCACTGTACTTTGACTTGTCTCCTACTGGATGTACTACTATTTCTACTTCATTCTCTATAACTGCTCATTAGAGTGGAGCTAACTAGAAGCAGCCCCAAACTGTGGCAGATATGGAGCTATCTTAAAACAGAAATTTTAATTAAACCAAGCTCAGCTGCAATTCAAACATATAGAAGAATGAATCAAGCTCTATGATACATTTAACCATTCCTCTCTTATCTTGTATTACTCTTTAAAACCTACTTTTCACATTTCTCTTGAAAAGTTATATTAGCACAGGATCAACTTTGTTGCTGTTTATAGTAAGACAGTAAAGCTACATGGCCAAATGCGAAGTGTTTTCATAGAAACTTAGCTGACCATACCTCAATCTAAAATTTACATTCACAAAGTGTATTATTAAATAGTTCTAAATAGGGCCACATGCAATGAGGTATTCATGTTTACGTGACATTTACTGATTAAAAATAGACATCCTGTCAAAAATTCAACCACAGACACTTGCCATAGAGATAGTTCTAGCTATGCTGCCAGATCACTAAATATATAAATCCTCCTTCTATTTAGAAGAATTTTGATGGAAAAAGTCATTTATGAAGATCTGTATCAGCAACTAGATATACTAAAAATGCATGGTGTAGGAAAGTGGGGAGTATTTAGTTAAATTATGACTTTTCAAGCTGTCTTTATATTGGGCTACTAAATTGATACTTTTTACTGGATTGTAAAATTAAGTTATATTGTGGAGGGAAATATTCCTCCAACTGGTTTTACAGATGTTCTAATTGAATATCTTTTTGGAGGAGGATAACATAAGAAACTAAATTGATCATTTCAATATATTAAAATTATCTGTGTAGATGGTCTGAATGTTAAGATAACATAGCATTAAACACTTATTGGCATCACAATAGTTCAAAATCTTGGGTGTTATAATTAGTTCTGTCTCTGGCATTATTATGCACATTCTTAATACATAGATCTAGAGGCACTGGTAGGCAAAGAGATCTCAGTTTTGCATTCCTACTGCTTTTTTAATCTAGATGCTAATCAGTACAATAAGCCATGCCAACTCAGAGTTAGAAATCAGACCTATTCTAAGATCATGACATTGTGATTTTCTAGCAAAATGTTTTTACCTGCTTTGACTAATCCTATTTTAAATACTCTAACTTTGAATAGCTCACAGGACAGTACTTGTGACTCTTACCTTGATATAACTGATTTCATTCTTAATTTAATTTTGTGACAGCTCAGATCTTAAAAGCAATCTATTGTTCCCTTGTCAGACTTAGAAACGACTGATACATCCAAGTGCATACTTCCTGGTTCATACCAAATTGATGGCTGGGTCTACAGGAAATCAATACTGGATGATTGAGCCTGTTCTATAAATTTAGAAAAATTTAGGAAAAAATAAAGAAAATTATCCAATTTGATGATTTAGGGCTAGAATAGTCAAAAACTAGTTTTGTGAAATGGGTTTCCTAAGATGTTTTGTAGATATATCATGAATGAGAGCAGAATATTATCACATTTATTTCACATTATTTGAATCAACATAGCATTCAGCATTCAGCTTTTTAAAGACTTTATTTTTAGAGAAGTTTTAGGTTTACAACAAAACTTGAGTAAAGTACAGAGATTTATCATATACCCCCTACCCTTACACATGCATCACTCACCAAAATAGTACATTTTTACTAATCACAACACATCCTAATCACCTGATGCCATAGCTTAACTTAGGGTTCACTCTTGGTGTTGTACATTCTATGGGTTTGGACAAAAACATAATGGCATATATCCATCATTATAATATAATATGGAGTGTTTTTACTGCCCTAAGTATCCTCTATGTTCTGCCCTTTCATCCCCCATTTCCAATGCCTGGCAACCACTGCTATTTTTATTACCTTCATAGTTTTGCCTTTTCTAGAATGTTATATTCTTGGAATCATACAATACATAAGCTTTTCAGATTGGCTTTTTTCATGTAGTAATATGCAGTTTAAGGTTCCTCCATGTCTTTTTATGGCTTGACAGCCCATTTTCGTTTAGCACTGAATAATATTCCATTGTCTCAATATACCATAGTTTATTTATCCATTCATCCACTGAAGGATATCTTGGTTGCTTCCAAGCTTTGTCAAACCTTTATGTGCAGGTTTCTGTGTGAACATGTTTTCAACTGCTTTGAGGAAATACCAAAGAGTGTAATAGTTGGATCTTATGATAAGACTATGTTTAGTTTTGTAAGAAACCACCAAACTGTCTTCCAAATTGGCTGTATGATTTTGCATTCCCACCAGCAATGTAGGAGAGTTCCTGTTGCTCCACATCCTTGTCAGTATTTGGTGTTGTGAACCTTCTGGATTTTGGCCATTCTAATAGGTGTGTAGTGGTATGTCATTTTTGTTTTAATTTGCATTTCCCTGATGGCATATGATGTGGAACATCTTTTCATGTGTTTGTCATCTGTAGATCTCTTTGGTGACATGTCTGTTAAAGTCTTTGGATCATTTTTTAATCAAGTTGTTTTTTTTTTTTAATTAAGTTTTAAAATGGTTTTTCTGTATATTTTGGAAAACAGTCCTTTGTTACATGTGTCTTGCAAATATTTACTCCTAGTCTGTGGTTTGTCTTCTCATTTTTTTGTCATTGTCTATTTGTCATTGCCTGAACAGAAGTTTTGAATTTAAATGAAGTCCAGCTATTATCTTTTTTCATGATTTATGTCTTTGATGTTGTATCTAAAAAGACATCACCATACCCAAGGTCATCTAGGTTTTCCCTATGTTATCTTCTCAGAGTTTCATAGTTTTGTGTTTTACATTTCGGTTTATGATTCATTTTGAGTTAATCTCTGTAAAGGGTATAAAGTCTGAATGTAGATTCATTTTTTTTTACATGTGCATGTCCAGTTGTTTCAGCACCATTTGCTGAAGAGACTCTTTGCTCTGTTGTAACATTCACATTTTTTAGTAATTTAGACTTTGCTTTAGTGATGCCAGTAGAAATTGGTACTCTATTCTGTCACTTCACATAATAGCTGCATTTCCATTTTCTTTTTATTACAAATCAATAATGCAATTAACATAACAAGATCCCAAGAGCTATTTACGTAATTATTGCTTTTATAAAGAAAAGAACCACTACATAAGCTGTAAAGCAGCTTAAAACAAAATCATAAAACAAGTTCCAGGAAACCACTCTTCAGAAAAACAACATAATATATCTTTTACACAACCTGTTTTCTTTAAGATTTTGTAATAACTGAAGATAGACTAGCACCAACCAAATCAAGGAACTCACTCTATTTACTGAAAGAATCAACACAATCCAGTTTGGGTTCCCAAAGGAAAATATGCTGTCTTTCAGTTATGTTGATACTATTTTAGACCAGTAATTCCTTTATTTTGTTTAACTATGGAAAACAATTTTAGTACAAGAAAAAGAAACTTAGCAGTCTGACCATGCATATACACCACTTCCTATATTAATCAAATGAGAGTTGTAAACAACTTAATGTGATGTGTATTCAATGACGTTTCATGAATTGTTTGCAGGATAAGTAGGCATAAATTATAAGTAGCATACCTCTCTTACTCTTGTTCCCTCTCCCTCTCTCTCTCTCTCTCACACACACATACACACACACACACACACACACACACACACACACATTTTTTGTCTCACTTAAAACACCATTTGAATTGTTTTATAGACTGAATTAAAGACAGTGAGGGGCAGTGACAGACATGCATATTAAGACAGATCACATAGATAACAGTGGGAGATGCAAGCATCAGCTTTCAGAGCAAAGTACATTTAGGTGGATAATTAGTCGTGGTGCAAAAGTAGACCATGAGATATGGCATCCAGAAGTGGGGCTCCGGGATATGAGTCTATAACAAAATCCATAATTAATACATGATAACAACTGGAAGGGGATAAGGCAACAAGTTACTTTCAAATCTGGAGAGGGGTATGGTCTTAGGTCAGAAAGGAACTCTGCCAAAATTAAAGGGCTTCCAGTTCAGGTAATACTGGAATCACTACTCGAAAAATAATACTTGAAGACTCATCAAAACTTCATATTAAAAAGAAACCAGAAGGGCAGGCAGGCCTGTGGGCTTTTCCCACCCACTCTCCCACCTCCAGAAAGAAAGTACATGTTCTCTGTTGCATGTGCTTATATCACTGACAGAACAACTTTCCTTTGATGATTTTCAAGAAAGCTGTACTATGAAATGGCAAAGTCTCCAGGAGGCAGAATGCCATTGCCTCTGGGGAAACGGGTGCTTTTTTCCAGTGTAGTGGTCAGTGGGAGCTGTGCCCTTACATATTACCTTATACAAAAAGCTTTTTCCAGGGCTTCCTATTACGAGCTGGTATTGGAGCAGCTGCACAGCCACCCTGAGTCCCTGGAAGCTCTGTGCACTCCTCTCAACATCCACTATCTACACCTCACTGACAAGTACAACTTTGTGGATATTGCCAGTACCCAGTTGAAGATTCCTGTCTCTGGATTCAAGTCAGAGGGCCATCTCTATGTCAACTCATCCAGAGATGCCCCCTTTCAGAGATGGCACCCTCAGGATGTCTTCTTAAATCTTAAGGATGGTTAGCAGATTCCTGTGTTCAAGTTCAGTACGGACAGTGGTGATGATATAGAAACAGAATAAAGGTGATCAAAAAGACTCAGCATTCTCCAAGCATGGCCTTTCCTCATCACAATGTACCCTCCATGGCTGTAAGCCAGTTTTTCAGCCAGAGGGGATGATTATATGTGCTGGCATATGGTAATTTTGGTATAATTCTAATTTGGCCACACTATTGTGGGGTTTTTATTTAATCAGAAAGTTTTACTATGAATTTATAGGTATTTATTTGAGAACTCACTGTGTAAAAGCAGAACACAGAATAAAAAGAATCGCTATTTAAAATTTTTAAAAGGAGAAGAAGAAGAAGAAGACAACAAAGAAGAAGAAGAAGAAGAAGAAGAAGAAGAAGAAGAAGAAGCAGCAGCAGCCACCACCTCCAGAGTGAATCTTCTAAATGAAAATCAGGGCATTTCTTACTTAACATTTCCAGTGGTTCTCCACCACATTTAGAAAAGCTTTAGCATAGCTTATAAGACTTACCTTGACTTGCACCAACCCTACCCCATGTTTTTGATATTCCTTGAAATATGCCAAACTCACTCTCATCTCTGGGCTTTTGCACTTTCTGTGTTCTTTGCCTCCAATCTTGGCTCATTCCCTTAATGTTCCATTAAGGATTCTACTCAAATGTCATCTTCTCAGAGATGTTCTGAGAATCTTTTTTATTTGTATTTATTTATTTATTTATTTATTTATTTATTTATTTATTTTAAAGACAGAGAGGGAAAGAGGTAGAGGCAGAAGGAGAGAGAGATCCTCTTAAGCAGGCTCCACACTCAGCACAGAGCACGACCCTGGGATCATGACCCAAGCCAAAAATCAAGAGTCGGATGCTCATCCAAGTGAGCCACCCAGACACCCCTGAGAATCATATTTAAAACAGCAACCTACCACTCTAGAACCCCTTACCACTTTTTATTTTTCTTTATATGTGATTTTTTTTTCAATATATGAAATTTATTGTCAAATTGGTTTCCATACAACACCCAGTGCTCATCCCAAAAGGTGCCCTCCTCAATACCCATCACCCACCCCGCCCTCCCTCTCACCCCCCATCAACCTTCAGTTTGTTCTCAGTTTTTAAGAGTCTCTTATGCTTTGGCTCTCTCCCACTGTAACCTCTTGATATGTGACGTTGTTGAATATATTTATTTGTTTACTTAGTACCTTCTCCATTAGAATATCAGTTCCATGAAGGTAGAACTTTCTGTTGTGTCACTCTTGTAACTAGCATGAGAGGTAGAATTACTGCTATAAAGATAATTAAACATAAACTTCAGGAACTCTCATTTGCATAGCCTCATTTAAATGGCCTGCATGTAATTCTGTATGTATAATTTTTAGTCTTCAAAGTGAGTTATCAAAATCATGTAAGCTTTAGACTCCATTAAACCTCTGCTTAGCATCTAGTGCCTGACATTTCATAAGCCCTCAATAAATATTTTTGAATGAGTGAATTTTAAAAATGAATGAATACCTTAAATATTTTAGGGTAAAAAGATTTGTTAGCTCTCTCCCTGATAGCAATCTTTGATAAGTGTTGGTCTTGACTGAAAGGTGAAAGATGTTGGGTGTCCATTGAGGATAATGGAACAAGGCTGTTCTGAAGGATATGGAAGAAATTTTAGAAAAGGATGCTGTGGGCTCTTAAAGTAAACTTTGTTTACCTCATAATTTTTCCTAGTGTTGGGATACTAAATTAGGCCAAAAGTACACATTATGATTTAATGCCTTAATAAATTGGGTTCCTATTATAAATCCATTCTTTGTGACACAGCCTTTTTTCTCTCATATTTCCTAAGATATGAGCTATCTTTTCTAGTATATCCAGGGAGTATCCACAATTTAAGGAAATCATTGAAGCATGACTGCTTCCTCATTACTGCACTGGGTTATTTCTTCCTTTTTCTTACACTGTTTTTATAGTTCTCAAAGCTTTTAAGAAAGTTTATGGATTCAACCAGGATTGTGCAATACAGTGGCATTTGCCCAGTGGAAAAACAGATGCACATTATATGTATATCTTATAAATACAGTTAAATATATATATATATATTTAAATATATGTACACACATATATTATATATAATAAATGTGACATATTATATATAATCAATGTGAGAGAAAGAGATTTAGCAAGCAAACCTTAGGATTTATTTTCACTTGTTAATTGTAGTTCCCCCATAGGATCATCCAGCTCTTCCTGTCATTAATAAGGAATTCATAAAAATGAGCCATTAATAGAAGAGATTAGTTAAATAATACATTACACCTTAAATAATGGTCAAAACTAGTTACTATGAAAACCATCTATGAATTGATCACTCTCAATTTATAGAAGCCCATCTGGTTTGGTTTTTAATCTACTCAAATTGTTTTTTGGCCAGTAGCACTGCCTGAGGCAAATTTATATCAACTTGACAAAAAGCAATACAAAGTCTTGCTTCAGAGATTCTCATTGCTTAAAGCTACAATACTTCTTTAAAAGCTCCAAGGTGTTATAATTAAAAATGTATCAATTGCTTAACTTGTCAACCAAAGGCAGTTATTGTAAAGCATTATTTCCCCTCAAACAGATAGACTGTCATTGCTCATGTGTGATTGCATTTAAAGAAAAAAATATAAGTAAAGTGTAAATTTAACTTCTGGGAAGTAAGCCTCATCAAAGCATTTCCAAAACCTTCTGGAATCTGTTCCCTTTCTGGGAAGCTGTACATACTAACCTCCCATTCGCATTTATAAACATGTGCAAACACAATTAACATGCAGATTTTTGATGGTGACTTGAGAGGAGGGGCGGAAAAAACTTTCTCCAGAAATGTTAATTTGACTTTAGTAACAGAATGTCATTTGAAATTGTAGTTAAAGATATCTCTTTCTAGTGATTTCTTTTTTATTTTACCCTTCCCTTGCCCCCTCTTTTTCCCCAAGAAATGAAGAATGCAATTAACAGCATAATGATTAAAGAAATAATTAGGCACTGCAGGCTCACATCACAATAATTTAGGACAATTTCATGCTTTTACTGCCATATCAAATTAACAAATTTTCTCTGTTACAAAAAAGTTCATGAAATAAAATTACCCTATCTTCCTCTGATTCCACTGCCAATAAAAAAATAAAACAGACATAGATGGCAAAGGGAACTTTTTTTAATCTTGTATGAAAAGGAATAAAATCACTTCTTCATAAATTAAAATTTAAGAATCAGTTCTGCTGTGTTGTGTTTGTACAAACAAGTTGCTTTTCATGAAAAGATTTTATTTTGATTAAATAACAGACTCAACTCACTGCAAATAATTGTGTTGTTAATCTCACTACACTACTTTGAACTGAAAGTGAGGAAAAACTGGTCAATGTTATTCAATTGCCTTGGAGGAACACAGAGCTCTTCTGACAGAGGTGCATAATGGATGAAGCACAAAATGAGATAATTGGGAGATGTTTATCCTAGAGGGTGCTAAGTTCATAATTACAATTAAAAAGTTCTCATATCCTAATATTATTCTCTGTAAAGACACACACTCTGTCTTCATTTGACTGCATCAATATATATTTTTCCAAATCAATAAAGTTCATCTGTGACCTGGCCTGAGGTTGGATATGTAACAGAAGAATGTAAATAATGCCAACTACTCATATTTTTATCTTACTGTGAGTGCTATTGCATGGCCATTCAGAGGTAGCTTCTTAACCAGAGAAGTAATAACCTTCTTAAATATAAGACCCCGAGGTGCTCTGGAAAATATAAATATTTGAATGTTTTGTTCCAAAAACTTTAAAAATGCCTTGTTTCAGGATTATGTATTATAAATTTCAAAATCACCAAGTGAATGTCTATATATTAAGATATTAGAAAATTCATGGACAGATAAAGAATTTTTCAGAGCTGCTTTATTCAAGTAGGGATAGTTCAACAACTTGTTTCTATCAAGAAAATTACAAAATGTTGTTGACAGCTCTTTGTGACCTGTCATATAGTCAAGGTATAAACGTTTAACACATAACAATAATAGAGTTATTAATATAATGCATTATGATATTTCTTCACCATCTGTAAAACACTTTTGTTGGTTTACAACCTTGAAATTTCCCTGGGTGAAATTCAAAACTGGCCCCATATGTGGAGGGCAAGGAGAGACTGAAGAAAGAGGAAGACCACCCCAAATTGGTAGGTGGCAGTTTTAATAGACAAGGGAACTTAGATACTAGGCTTGTCTTGGGTAGATGCAAGACAAATAGATCTCCACACCTACCCACCCAAATCTTAAAGAGTTTAAATAAAGGCCTTAGTGGGGGTCAGTCACATATATAGTCCAGATGGTCTCAACAACACTTTACTCTTTTAAGGCTGCATGTTTGAAGGGGTTCTTAGTGTGGGAATGGTGAGGTGAATGTACATTCCAAGGACAGGGAAAAGGGTAAGGAGCTTCCAGTTGGGTCTAGCTCACAGGCCAACCTGCAGTCACAACCTTTCAGTGACTTCCTCTAATACCTTTCTTCTTTACAACAATCTTCTGAAGTACGGCTGCTTTCATCACTCCATTGCCATTGTATGGTTGAGAATGTTGGGGTTTAGTCGGTAAGTAGCAAAAAGAGAATTTCAATTCAGGTCTTCTGACTCCAGGTCTCATGCTTACTTTCCTATGCAACATGAAGACATAATAATTTGACAATCAGAAAGAATGAAATCTTGCCATTTGCAACTACATGGATGGAACTAGAGGGTATTATGCTAAGTGAAATTAGAGAAAGACAAATATATGACTTCACTTGTATGAGGACTTTAAGACACAGAACAGATGAACACAATGGAAGGGAAGCAAAAATGATATAAAAACAGGGAGGGGGACAAAACATAAGAGACCCTTAAAAATGGAGAACAGAGGGTTAGTGAAAGGGTTGTGGGAGGGGGGATGGGCTAAATGGGTGAGGGGCATTAAGGAATCTACTCCTGAAATCAT